ATGTCCAGCTGCTCCGCCAGCCCCAGCTGAGCCCTCCGTGGGCTCGCGTGCCCGCTGCTATTCACACTGCTAATCCCCGGGTGGCTCTCCGTGCCGTGGCACTGCTAATGCTGCCCGCAGGCTGCCCCTTCCATCTGTCCGACCGGCTCCCTGCTAACCAACATGTTTTTCTCTTCCCTTCTCTGTGCCCACATCTGTTGCCCACGTAAGTGCCACCAACTCAGGCCAGTGCTGGGCTGGGGGGTAAGGGGAGCCATAGCAGGGACATGGGGCTGGGCCAGGGTCCTGCTCTGGCCAGATGCCCAGATCCTTTCCCATGGCACCTCTGCACTCACCCAGCACCATCCATCCTCTCCAGGCCAAGAACATGGATTACTACAAGCGGGAGGTGAGTAGGGCCAGGGGCAGCGGCTGCCGGGAGGCCAGGCCGCCCCCAGGGCACTGACGCCCACGGGTGCCCCAGATCGACTACTGCAGGAAAGCCATGGCCAGGACGCGGGTCAAGTCGTCCATCTGCCTCGAGGGGTGAGTTGTGCGGGCGGTGGGGCGGGACGGGCGCCCTGGCGCAGGGCTCTGATCCAAGGCCTCTCGCTGCAGGTACATCAAGTTCAACGAGCAGTACGTGCCCCACGACCCCATCATGTCCGGCTGCCTGCCCAGCAACCCCTGGATCACGGACGACACCACGTACTGGGCCATGAATACTGCCACGTAAGCGCCGTGGTGCCGCGACGGGCAGCGGCTCCGGGGCCGCTCTCTGAGCGGCGGCTCTCCCCCCCCCCCAAGCTGCGTGTGGAGCGCTGGGGCTTCGGCTTCAGCGAGCTCCTCGCCGACCCGCTGGGCCGCGCGCAGCTCCTCGACTTCCTCAAGAAGGAGTTCAGCGGTGAGGTGTCCTGGCGCGGCCCCCTCCCAGCCAGGCCGACCCTGGCGCATCCCTCTCCCCGGCCATGATGACCCTGGCCGGGTTTTGCCCACTGGCCCGGTCCCAGCCCGCATCTCCCTCTACAGCCGAGAACCTGAGCTTCTGGGAGGCCTGCGAGGGGCTGCCCCACGGTCCCGCATCGCCGACATCGTCAACGACATCTACCAGTGAGCGGGGCCGAGGGGGCAGCACGTGGGGCTGGGGATGCTGCGTCCCCTGGGGGGACACCTGGCCGGGGTGCCCTCGGCACCAGGTTCCAATCCCCAGGCAGTTCCTGGCTCCTGGAGCCACCCGCTGGGTGAACATCGACAGCAAGACCATGGAGCGGACGCTGGAGGGCATCAAGACGCCCCACCGCTACGTGATGGACGACGCGCAGATGCACATTTACATGCTGATGAAGAAGGTGGGCACGGGCCGGGTGCCGTGGTGGGACCAGGCCCCGCGCCGCGTCCTGACGCTCTGCTCACCCAGGACTCCTACCCGCGCTTCCTCAAGTCCGAGCTCTACAGGAACCTCCTAGCTGAGGCCGTCATCCCCCCCGAGACCAAAAAACGGTGAGTGAAGGGCCGGGGCCCGGCACGGCGGGGGAGCCGCGCGGCGCTGACCTGGCCACCCCCGCAGCGTGTTCCCCTTCATGCGCAAGCAGCGACACTCCAGCCCCAGCCCGGCCCTGCTGCCGCCTGCGAGCGACGCCGAGGCCAAGGCAGAGGAGAAGAGCAGGGGCCCTGCTGCCACCCCCGTCCTCGAGGAGCAGGGCTAGGGGCTGCGGGCCCCGCTCCCTGCCCCGGGCCGCCAGCAAGGCCCCACGGGAGCACTTGGGTGGTGGCACCATCCCTGGGCACCCAAAGGGCCCCTCTGCCCGCGCCTGCCCTGCTGCCGCCTGCGAGCGACGCCGAGGCCAAGGCAGAGGAGAAGAGCAGGGGCCCTGCTGCCACCCCCGTCCTCGAGGAGCAGGGCTAGGGGCTGCGGGCCCCGCTCCCTGCCCCGGGCCGCCAGCAAGGCCCCACGGGAGCACTTGGGTGGTGGCACCATCCCTGGGCACCCAAAGGGCCCCTCTGCCCGCGCCTGGGCCAGGCGCGCGATGGGAGCAGC